AAAAGCTTAGCAAAGGGATTTTTCTACCTTTGATATTTATTTCCATCATTTTTTTTAAAAAAAATTTAATTTTGGCAAAATCATATTTTATCACCTTTGTCAGCAGGATCAAAGGCTAAAATGATATCCATGAAGCAAACTTTAAAAGCCCTACAATTACAACTGCTCTGAGAATATTTCTGATAAGTAATTATTAAACATGTAGAGGGCTTTGTAAAGAGCATGTCAATATTCCATGATCTTTACAAGCTGAATCTTGAACCAAATCTCAAATACATTTTCTATTGACGCACTGAGAAGATGAAAGAGAAAGTCAGACTAGAGTCACATTAAATATTTCCTTTGGATGATATAAAGTTAGATACTTTTAACACCAATTTTCTAACTTTTATGATAATTTAGGAACTTCTTCAAATGTGGCAACTTATTACAAGGAAAACAGCTTCACTAATAAAAACACACAGAAGAGGAACGATGCACATCTATCTCCAAGTGTGTCATCCATGCTTTATCTAATTTGCATAATGATAACTGAAATTAAGCCATTTCTTTTTTATGAAGTTCTTTCCTTTGATTTTAATATTTTCTGATAACTACCCCATCTGTGCTAGAAAAAAGGTGAGCAGGAAATGGTAGCTGCCCAGTTACACTGCATCCATGGTTACGTTACTCATAGTTACTACACACTAAGTTAACACAGGCATCACAGTTCTACCTCATGCAGAACAGCTCAAGATTTGAAAACCTGTACGGTTCCAAAGAAGAAATGTCAGCAATACCTTTCACTGCACCTTCAGCCAGTTTCACCCCCCAAGTAAATGATAATTCACTGTTCCCTCAGAGAAGAATGGTCCCTTCCGATTGTAGGAAGGGCTCGACTGTTATTAGGACAAAAGTATTTTCAAGTTTAATAGTTTCCTGGCTTTGAGGTCTGAATGAAAGAGAAATGAATCCACAGAAATTCCTATATATAATCAGTCATCTACATAACTTTACATTATCTATACCCAAACTAGAGTTCATAAAATATATCTTCATATTAAAATTTCATTAAGCAATTCTATGAAATAAAACTAAAGTCCTTTGCCCGGTCGGTGTGGCTCAGTGGTTGAGCATCAACCTAGGATCCAGGAGATCGAGGTTCGATTCCTGATCAGGACACAAGCCCGGGCTGCAGGCTCCATCCCCAGTCGGGGGTGTGCAGGAGGCAGCTGGTCATTGACTCTCTCATCATTGATGTTTCTCTCTCTCCCTCTCCCTTCCTCCCTCTGAAATCAATAATGATATATTATGAAACAAACAAACAAAAAACTAAATTCCTTTGAATATGGCTTAAAACTAGCAGAGTCACCTCCACTTGTGCTGCCAAGCGTGCTTTCTCCCTGTCTTTCCGCTCCACGCACCGCTTTGCTTCCTCTAGCTCGGAGGCCATGGCACTGAAGTTCAGCTGCACTCTCAAGTTTGACATCTGCTTCTCCAGGTCGTCTTTCTCCCGCTCAACGCCTTTAAAGAGAAAATGCAAAGCTTGATGGCTGTTCTTTATTCACAGAAGAATGTATTTTCAGATGGTACAAAGCCTTGATGTTTTAATATTCCAGCTAACACAATCCACTTATTAACACTGTCACTCAACAGACTTCAGAATTTCCCAGTCTATTGTTTCAAATCTCCTTCAGTTTTCTACAATATTAATCCAATTTGATACTAAAACTTAAAATGGTATCTGATTTCTAGTACAATTTACTGCAGGAAAATCCTGCACATTTTTTTCCTTTTAACTTTCCTTACATCCCCTCATTACCTTCAAAGTCTAACAAGAATTCTGAAAAGAATTTTCAACTAAGCTACCCCCAAGTGAAGTTACTGAAGTTCACACAACAAAATGCTTCTCTTGCAACATAAGCACATGATTTAACGACAGTTAAATCTCTGGCTGTGCGTGACCACTAACTTACTAATTCTGGAGACTACTACCTGAAATTATGTCGCTGAACAATAAAATTGACTTAGTATTTAACTCAACATGAGATACTTGGTCTATGATGTACGGCACACTTTAATACCATCTTCCTCAGAGATAAATGACACAAAAACCCTTTCTCAATGAGCTTGCACTCCAAGAATAGAAACAAGACATAAATAAAGTACTTCCTTGAATCTAAGATGTCAAAAATTGGAACATATAAATTTAAACTTACTGTTTTTCCAGTAGTTTCCTTTCCAGAAAAGGAAAAACTGAAAGAAACACTACCAAATCAAATTTATAGATCATTTATAAGACACACTCCAATTTTGGAAATATCGAAGCGTTTCAAATAGAAATACCAAAGTGCTTAAAATATCACATGTACCTTGGATAGAAGGTACATAGGCATTTTAATAGCTTGATAAGAACACTGACAAATACTAAATAGATATTCCTGTAGAGCATAATGCTTAATATGCAGAAATAGTCCAAAGAATAGAGTGATTAACTCTACCTTGGTGAGAAACTGAGGTAGGAAGAATTGGGAACTAAGTTAGATTTAAAGAATCGATACAAAATTCCACTACACAGAGGAGATGCAGTTGGGGTGATATTTCAGGGAAAGGAAACAGCATAAAGCACTGAGATACAAAATTAGATTTAATATTCAGGTAACTGCACACATAGTAGTTTTATATAGCTGACACATATGAGGGAGGGAAAAGGGGAGTCAGCAAGGAGTTTATGCATTGCTAGAGAGCTCAGAAATAATGCTCTAGACCAGGAATTGGCAAACATTTTCTGTAAAGGGTCAGATAGTAAATATTTGCCATAGACCTCTGTCATAATTACTCAACTCTGCCATTGTATTGCAAAAGTAACCTATACAGTGCATAAATGATTGGGAGTAGCTGTGTTCCAATAAAGTTTATTTACAAAAGTCTGGATTTGGCCCATGAGCTGTACTTGGCCTACCCCTGCTAGGTCTACAACCTAAAATTATTCATATTTGTTTAAGTGTAAATGTATTTATTCATTTTATAAATATATGCATTCATTCATTTTATAAATGTCTAATCTTAATATATATGTATATGTGTGTGCACATAACATATATATCTCCACAATATATAGAGATATATTTCATAATATATATAACATTCATATATATATAACATTAGTATGAATATATATTATATAAAATATGGAAATAATACATATGAATGCATATCTAAATATATATACATATATGTATATGTTATGAAGTGTATATATATATTTGGTGTGGAGACATATAATATTTTGCTATGTTTCATAATATATACATATAAAATATCAGCATGGCTATATATATATAATACATAGATATATACATATACCTACATATATAATGAAGCATTAACAAAATTAAAATACTTAAAACATAAGGTATAAAATATAAATAATGTCACAAACACTCTCCTCCCACATCCAGAGGATTTTCTCACACATTCAATTTTGAAACACTTGCTACAAACAGTAATGGGTTAGTCAAGGATAGTAGTTAAAAACTCAAGTTTGGGGAGAAAAAGATTTAGGTCTGCTACTTCCCACAAATGTGATCTTAGACAAGGTACTCAACCTCTTTGTTCTTCAGTCTTTTTTAAAAAAAATGATTAAAACAGAAACAAAAATAGTACTTTTCTCAGAGAGTAGTTGTAAGAACTAAAGGAGACAATGTAAAATGAGCAGCATAATGCCTTATATGTAGTTAGAACTCAATAAATTATAGTGAGAGGTTTTAATCAAGAGGGTAAATTGAATGGTTTGTGTCTTAGACTGGTCCCTGTGGTAGCAGTATAGAAGATAGACTACAGAGGAACTAGAAGAAGACAAGAAGGTAATTTAGATGACATGAAGCATGCCTACACTGGGGTAGTGGGAATAAAAAAGAGGGTAGGGAAAATTCAAGAGATATCAAGATCTATAAATAGACGAGGTATCAGGATGAATTAGATGGAGCGGAGAAGAAATAATTTTGAATTTTCTTTGTATTTTAGGTTTGGATATCTGGATAAAGGATGATGACATCAATTGATACAGGAAATAAAACAGGTTTCGAGGAAAGAATGAATTCAGATTTAAATCTGTTGACTGAGCAACTGTGGAACAGCATAGAGAGATGTCCAATGAGCAACTCCAACTGGAGGGCTGAAGGGTAGGACAGCGAGTGGAGCTAGATTTAGGGATCATCTATAGGCGACAGTAAAGCATAAGATTAAGTAACAACCCCTACAGAGAAGTAGTAAGAAAAGCTATAAATGGAGTTCTACACAACACCAGCATTTAAAGGACAAACTGAAGAAAGGAGTGGGAAGGAAGGGAAACCAAGACAGAGGGCGCAGGAAGGAGGAGCCCTGCAGGCAGCGGGAGGCCCGAACAGGAAGGCGACTAAACGGGTGGGTGAGAGGGAACGGCAGGCGCCTTTCCGCTGGCTGCCAAGGACCCTGTGAGTAAGCGGAGTCCACTTCGGAAGAAGGCAGGAAATCACTGTGGACTGGGTGGGTGGAGGACAACCAGCAGCCAGAGTGCGACACTGAGCGTCACTTCTTACATACAATTTTTAAAAATAATAACACAAGTGTTTTATAAAGATGAAAACTCTAGAAATGTTAAAAGAAGGCGAAGAAGTCCATTATCACATTAACACATTGTTTGCAGGTAGTTTTTATCGCTCGCTCTACTACCAGTCAACGTAAAACGTATAAATACGTTTCCCGCATACAATGTTTAATAAAAGAACTTTTCAATTCTTTTAAACCTCATAAATAGTTCAGAAAAATGAGATTCTTCTAGTTTTCAAAGGCACCAAAAATAACTAGATTTTATGAGGAAGCAAAACCTATAACAAATGTACCACAGAGTCTTTTTCCAAACAAAATGAGAGTTCCTATGTGCATCATTATGAAAATTTGGTGAATAATCTCATACCTTAGGATTTTACTTTTAAAAATAAATTTTAATATATTTGGCATTTTATATATTTTTAAAATTTATATAATTTAAACATTTAAATTACAACATCACATGAAACTTAAGTGAACTTAATGGCATGAAAATATATTAAGATAGCCCTGGCCCATGTGGCTCAGATGGTTGGAGTGTCATCCCATACACAGAAAGGTTGCAGGTTCCTTTCCCAGTCAGGGCACATACCCAGGTTGCAGGTTCAGTCCCTGGTTGGGGCCCATACAGGAGGCGACCTTTCGATGTTTCTCTCTCACATCAATGCTTCTCCCTCTCTCTCCCATCCTCCTTCTCTAACATCAACAAAAACGTATCTTCAGGTAAGGATTAAAAAAAGAAAATGTATTAAGATAGGTATGTTACAATTTGCTATCCAGCGAAGACATTCTGGCAATGTGTAAATTCTAACTCAGGCAACATATTGAGTTATGTGCGGGAAACATGGGAAAATATTTACCTTCCCTGACTTTAATGTACTACAAATGCTTACAAAAATTTATCCAGTAAATTAGGCATTGGAGTAGGAAGCCTCATTATTAATGTAACTTATAAGCTGAACAATAAGGACTAGAGTATTAGAAATCATTATAAAATCTCAATATCACTATTTCTGTTAACCTGAAAGTAAAAAACATAGAGGTATTTTAAACTTAAGTATAAGAACAAGTACACACTCACACACACACACACATTTAGGCACAGAAATAGGAAGCTGGAAAAATTCCACTACTGGCTTTGCTGGCTCTTTCTAAGAGAAAGCTCCATGACATAAACAGGTCTGACAACTGAAATGTGTTTAAAAATCAAACACAGAAGACACTGAAATTGGATACTAAATACAGCCGACCAGGTAGCTCAATTGGTTAAGGCGTCATCCCAAATAAGCCAAGGTTGTGGGTTTGATTCCAGTCAGGACACATAAAAGAACCAATGAATGCATAAATAAGTGGAACAAGTCAATGTTTCTCTTTTTCAAATCAATTAAAAATAATAATAAAAAGAAATAGATAAGATGACAAAAGCACAATGTAAGAAATGCAATTCTGAAAATGGAAAGTATTTAAGAAAGATTTTTAAAAAACCTACATTCACAAATCAAAATTATACCTCTCCTAAACCTCCAGTCATCTCCTTGTTCATCCTGATGGTTTGCCTGTGGCTTGGAAATCTGAGATACTTGATGTTGTAAACCCTTTCGATCGCCCTCTGCTTTCATAAGTTGTGCACGGAGTTCTTCTACCTGAATACATACAGTCAAAATTAAACTTACATAAGTTTTAGAAGTAAAGAAAAAAGTAACTGAACTCACAAATTATTACAAATTATTTTCCTAGGGGAAAAATGTACTTCTACTGGGCTACTGCAAGCACAAGTTGAAGCCAAGTTACTCTCCTTGTCATGCCAAACACAGTGGAACAGTCAGTCTCCTGCTCGTTTCTTTATCCCTCCCATTCCCTCCACAAAGAATGAATGTCTTTTCCCCTCTTCTGTGTCTACTTGGCAAAAATTTGACCACATCAAAAAAAATCCTTTATTTGGACCTTACTACTATTAACCCAAACTACCTCCAATTAAGTACGAGATGCTCTCATATTTTTCACTTAGTTCTTTCATGTAAACATGGTCTACTGATTGGTAAGCTGAAGAAAAATGATCACGAGTTAGCATATTTTGATATCAAAATACTGCTTCAAATAAATAAGCAATAAACACTATTGAATAAACTATAAACTCCTTGAGGTCAAGGACTATTCTATTCATCTCTGTATTTCTAGGGACTAGCAAATTGCCTACCACATACCAGGTATGTCCCCAAAGGGCATTAAACAAGTAGGCAGTGGCAAAAAAAACTCAGGTGAAGTCACAATAACTGCATAGCAGCCAAACACAGAAACCTCTTACTTCAAAAGGTGACATTGTAAAGTACAAGTCAGAGTTCCAAAAAAATCAGAGTGGAATTAAATACAAATATAAACTTCCAAAAAAGAAAGTCTGAACTCTGCCAACATTAATTCCAGTGGACCACTGGCTGCAGAACAAAGCCAAGGAACATTTTTAAAGGTTTTGTAAAACAGGTGCGACGGGGTATTTTCAGCACTAATTGTCAAAATGTAATACTCCTTCTAAACATCTATATGATTTCTGACATCTTTGCCTACCTAGCATATTATGTAATGAGTTATGCAACCCACATCTCAAAACAGAGGAAGGTACAATTGCATTTTATATTAAATACAGGCAGAAAGGCAGTTAGTTGGAAAACCATAAGCCCCTATCCAACGTATGTAAGATGGCTATTTCAAGTTATCGAATTTTAAACACCAGAAGCACCAAACTCCCACTATGGTCTAATGGGCTGCAAAATGTTATGCTTTAAAAGTAAGCCTTTGGTTTGGTTAAAAAGGGGCAGGTAGCATCTTGAAAATGTGAATACAAGGCAATAATGCATTCAAAGTCACCTGAAAGTGCAAAAGTCTGTTTTATGCATTTTGCTTCCTCCTTCACCCTCCAATGCCTCCTTGAGGAAAATTAAGCCCCTGGGAAAATTTTATCTTACACATCCAGTCTCACTTTTACACTGGTTATGCTAAGAGAGGGAAGTCCTAAGCTGGAGCAGCCATCAGCATCCACACTGTCACAGTGGAAACCTCGGCTGGTGTTTTTACTAGCTTTCTCTGAATCTTCCTGAAAGGATTTCATCTTTTACTTATGGATGCTGATACACATTCCTTGGGAAAAAATTATTCTAGACCTAGGTTTTTCCTTTCAAAAGACAGTTAATAGAGAAGGAGACTCAACCCTGATTTAATTTAAAAGCAGCTTATCATAGCTTGCATAGACTTACCTGATGCAAAAGTGTTTCTCGGCTGCCCTCCGACTGATTCAATAACCTTCGAGATAGCTCCAATTCCTGTTCAAGCTAGAGTTTCAACAAAGGATAGAGAAATATCCAATGGGACACAAGTTCACTAAATTATATGGGCACAGCTTAAGAGGAGAAAATTGGAAAAGTTTTCAGAAGATAGTGTGGAAGGATAAATGTCTTGCTATAAACACATTAATGCTTCCATTAAGATAATGTTAACTGCATAACAAAAAGTGACCCACGGGCTCAATCCTCAGTCAGGGGCGTGTGGGAGGCGGCCGATCAATGACTCTGGTCATTGATGTTTCTGTCTCTCTCCCTCTCCCTTCCTCTCTGAAATCAATAAAAATATTCAAAAAAAAAAAAAAGTGACGCAGACCAGACTTCAAGAGGGCTGGGTTCTAGTCACTTCCATCTCAGCTATGGCCTCCTTAGACCTCCTTTCTGTTATCTCTAAAATAAGTTTTTTATATTAAACAACCTCTGAGATTCCTTCCAGTTCTAAACCATTTTAATCCAAATTCTAGAGCAATTCTGTCTTTAAATTAGTACACGTAGTATCATATGAACTGAACTAGAATAAAAACTTCAGAAACCCAATGACTCAAAATATATTTCATCCAACTGATGATTTTATATATTCTTATATCCCTAATATTGCTAACATCCATAATATTCCTAAAATTTTTAAATACTTAGGTTCAGCCCTGACCAGGTGGATCAGTTGGTTGGACTGTCATCCCATACACCAAAAGGATGCGTGTTTGATTCCCAGTCAGAGCACACACCTGGGTTGCGGGTTTGGTCCCCAGCAGGAGCACATACGGGAGGCAATGCATTGACGATTCTCTCTCACATCAATGTTTCTCTCTCTCTCTCCTCTCTCTAAACCAATAAAAAACATACCCTTGGGTAAGGATTAAAATAACAAAATAAGTAGTAATAAAATATCGAAGTTCAGAATAAGACATTTAAAGTTTCCTGAATAGTACAGCTATTAGATAACTAACTGTGAAAAATGTGCCCGTTGGGTGACTGAACACCCTGCAAAGAGTAAACATGCTGAGATTACTTCGAGTAGAGAAAACACCAGGATGCGAAGGGAGCAGAGCATGCCGCCACCAAACACACTTTTCTGGCACAAGGATTATTCTGAGCTGATGGCGGTCAAGGCCCAGCAGACTCAGAAAGTTTTTACCTTCCCCTTAACTGGGTAAAAGAACTTAGAAAGGGGGTCTATACCAGAAAGAAAGCTTTTTATTACCACAGATAACTTTCTGAAAAACTGAAGTGTACAGCAGGGGAAACATTTGTTCTTCTACCATCTATATCAGTCCTTCACCAATTGCACGTGTGGTGGGTGTTGCTACCAGGAGTAGCAGGAGGGAGCACTGTGGTCACAAACAGGTCTGACCTTGACCATGGGGCAGGAACATGAATCAACCTGAGATTAAACTGTATAGAACTACACACACACACACACACACACACACACGAGTGAGTGCACATAAAGCTGCATAAACTGTGAATTGAACAAATGGCAATTTCCTGACTTGAATACTGAATGACAATTGTGCAGAATTTTACCAATGAGGGAAACTGAGGGAAAGGTACATGTGACCTATCTGTAGATTTTGTTTTGCAACACCCTATGAATCTATTTCAGTCCAGTTATGTAAGTTATTTTTAAATTATACATGTGGCTCATAAAATAAATGTCATATTTTTTAGAAAGTAAAGTATATGTGAAATTATAGAATCTACACAAAATATTTTCTGACCTGTTTTCTTGTTTCTATGGAGACATAAAGAAGGAAAGAATCACACTTCAGTTAAAATGGTTTCAAAATCTACCAAGGCCCATTTCTCATGATCCCTGGGTAATATCAACTGTCTTAATTCCCAAAAGGCAAACCTGACAACCTGACATACCGTGTTTACAGTGAAGAAAGCATGGACGCATCATTTAACTTGACATTGGTCCACAAAATAAAATAATGGAGGTAACTTTAGATATAAAAAGCAATAATGAAGAAAAGAACATTACATTAGAGGCAAATTTTCACTTTATCATTCATTACTTTGTGCTCATCCTTAAATCTACCCATTTGCAAACTGAAAAGTGTCTGTGGCCTCTGAATTCCTTGCTAATTCTAACATGCCAGGCTCCACAGGGTCACAGACATGAATGTATGTCAAAAGTCCTTAGTGTTAATGAGAACAGAGGATTTTTTCCTCTAGGCTGCTAACTGTGACTAACTCCTGTCATGAAAACGAATATCTAGAAAACGCCCAGCTTTTAAACAGGTCTTTCCTAACCCTGCAGCAAAGGCCAGCTCTTTAAGTGTTCCCCAGATGATAGGTAGCAAACAACCTGTCCATGTTTCTAAGAGCAAGAAGCAAAGAGGCAGAGCCTTCAAGCCAAGTGACGCCACATCAATCCATAAAGCCTTCACTGAGCTCTAACAAATGATCTCAAGGCACTCAACAAACATCACCGGTCCCAAACAACACTGCTCTTTCAAAGATAACTTTCAAAATCTTACTTGGCTCTTCTCAGTTTCAGTTTGTCTTAGCTTGTTTTTCATTACTCCCTCGTCGTCTGCTTTAGCTTCTTGTTTCTTCAATGCCTAGAATGAAAGAGATGGGAAAATACGTCAGAAGTCCTGCACATGTTTCTAAGAGCAAGTACCAAAATACATCCAGCATTGAAAGACACTACTAGGACTTAACCAAGAAAAGGCTGAGGAACATGAATATGAGTTGTACAAAGTATTTGAAGGGACTACAACCTGCTCATTCACTGAAGTCCTAACATTTCAGATGGAATCAAACATAAGCAACTTTGATCTTCCTAATCAATTTCCACTTAGTTTCACTCTTTTCCCATCTTTGGGTATTTTGTTACACAATTAGAAAGTATGGGCAGCTAACAGTTTTCTTAGAAACAAGCAAAGCTTACTGCCTGTTGAAATGATGGTACTTAAAAGTTATATTATCTGCTCAACTATTTAGATATAATACTAAAAACTAGCTCACTAGTTTTCCAAATTCTGAAAAAAATCTCATCAAAGTAGAAACATGCTTGTTGCATCATTATTACATATATGACATTTTATCACAACATGTAACTGGCTTTTCAAACCATACTTCACACAGAGGGAGGGAAAAGCATTCTTTTCTACATTTTTCTCTCATTAATAAAATGGAAAAAAACTTTAAAAAATACAAATTTCAAAAGTCAACCACAAAAGTGTTTGTTTGGGTTTGTTTCTATGCTAAACTTAAGGAAAAATTTATATTTGGAACAATCTTTCATGACATCTAAAAGGCATTCCATTTGTTCAAAAAAATGTTTTGACAATCTTAGCATTTAGACTTAGAAGGTGTATGTGTAGAGGCCATCCAAACTGAGAAAAGCCAAACTGTCAGAGTCTTTTCCAACAGGATCTATGGTGCTCAATAGAAAGCGATTTTTAAAAGAACACCAGGACATGTTAAATACTGCTTAGATGTAAGTATAATCAATCGTATTCAAGTTCATTTACTTACATATCCAACAAATAACTTCTATGTGCATTTATAAAATGCCAGGCACCATGCTAGGTGTTACTAATATACATGTATATAAAATAACCATGGCCCCCCATCCATGAGATTACAGCTCCCTCTGCCATGGCTCCTACTCCCACTAACAAAAAGCAACTGAGGAAAGAGACATAACCAGAATAAAAAATAATTTTGGTTTGGTATAGTAATAAAAAAACACTTTTAGAGTGCTTACCAGGCGTTCTGCTTCTTACATATATTCAAAAAATACATTACATATGTTGAATACAACATTTAATCTTTATGATAATTCGATGCATTACTAAGCCCATTTTATTAAGGGGGAAGTTGGGGTACAAGTAGTAGAATAACTTGCCCATTCTAACTAGGTCATTCACCTAGTTACTGACAGAGATAGGACATAGACTCAGGCTGTCTGCCCCTCCATGTGGAAATAATAATGTCAACCTTACAGGGTGGATATGAAGACTAAATAATTTGAAACTTGTAAAGCATTGAAAGGTACAATAAAAGACAACTATAACAATTACTGAATTGTTAACATTAATGAAGTATTACAATCATAATACTTTCAGGTCGTTATCAGGTGATCCTGATGTTTGCTTTTGTTCTTTATTGCTGGGTAAAATTTGTAATAATATTTAATTCTATATGCATAATCTATTCATAATCTATTTGACTTGTTGGAAAATTCTCCAGTGAGAAAATTTTTCCATTTTACTAACTGGAATTAATCCATTTCTGTCCCTTTCTTATGATTTCCCAAACTCACATTTTTAAAATCCTATAACACTTTACATTAAAAAAAAAACAAGGACGTGCCCGGCCAGGCGTGGCTCAGCGGTTGAGCAACAACCTAGGATCCAGGAGATCACGGTTTGATTCCAGGTCAGGGCACAGGCCCGGGTTGCGGGCTTGGTCTCCAGTCAGGGGCGTGCAGGAGGCAGCTGATCAATGACTCTCATCATTGATGTTTCTTTCTCTCTCTCTCTCTCTCCTCCCCTTCCTCTCTCTAAAATCAATAAAGATATTTTTTTTAAAAAAAACAAACAAGAAAATTACATTAACATTTCCCAAGTGTTCGCTGACTTTATTTTGATTAAATGCATTAAGAATATGTTTAACTCACATTTATATGCTTAATTTTACTTACTTAGATAGACATTCAAGAGAATCCTTGTTTATCCAGAGGCTCACATTTCCAAAGAGTAATACAAAATATGGTGTAAGCTTCAGATGGCCAGAAACCTCAGCTGTCATGATCATATTTTACTTCTAACACAGTTCTTGGCACATTTTAGGTGGCAAACATATGTTATTGAATAAATATGCCTTTATAATCTCTGAATAAAAATTTCACTATGCAGTTGGCCAATGCTGTTCATCACATACATGTAAGTTTTCCAGAATTCTCCCACCTTTCTTAATTGCCATATTTTCTCAAGCACCAAGTTGTCTTTTTTTCTGGGGAAATAATTATCATGGTGGAGTGATACTGGAAAATAAATATTTATTTTGGGGTTTAAGTCAAAGAGTTTTAACCTTTTGCTGTTTTCACAAGTCATCATTTTAGTCTTTTCTTTAGAAATCTCACAAATGGGTTTAATTTTTTTTATTAATGAAATAATTTAGGTTTACAAAACAGTTGTAAAAATAGCTCAAAGTTACCATATACCCTTCACCTAGTGTTCCCTAAAATTAACATCTTACATGACATGGTATGTTTATCAAAACTAAGACATTAACATTGTTACAAAACCATTAAGCTACAGCCTTTATTCAACTATCAAATGTTCTTTTTTTGTGCCAAAATTCAATTCAAGGTACTATGGAGCAGCTTCGGAATGGTGAAAGTTTCTCTCAGTCTTTTATTGTTTTTATGACCTCAACAGTTTTGAAGAGATACTCCAGGTAACTTCAGGTCAGGTATTTTATAGAATGTCCCTCAGTTTGGGTTTGTCTGATGTCTTCTCATGATTAGACAGGGCTCATAAATTTGAAAGGGGTACAGGGGATACAACAGGGCTAAGTGCCCTTCTCATTGCATCACATTGCAGGGTGCACAGTATCACCAGGACTCAGGAACGGGGATGTTAACATTGAGCGCTCAATTAAGGTAAGGTGGTGTCTGCCAAATTTCCTTACCATAAAGTTAGTATTCTTTCCTTCCCATACGCTATGTGTTAAAAAGAGTCACTAAGCCCAGCCCATACTCAAAGAAAAAAAATTAAGCTCCACCTCCCAGAGGGAGATTTTCAAAGAATGTGTGGAAATATGTTAAAATCACTAAAGTAACTAACAAATATTTTACTAGATTATTTCGAGGCTATGCAAGTATCATTAAAGTTTCACCCACCAATTTTAGCTCAAAGCCAGACCAACTATAACACTATTAGTTCTTTTTGGCCTACAAAATTTTCCCCCATCAAACCTTAGAGTCTAATGTAACCCAGATTCCTAGTAAGTTAGCTCCACGCCAGTGCTCACCAGTAAGCAGAATGCTGAACCTCTTTGTATTCACCCCAAGATGACCTGCTCACACTAAAAGCACTGAGTGATCTAGAATTTACATAAGACTCCTTAGGTGTACTCACACTCATCAAAGCTTCATCAAACACTGGTATTCTCTAAATTCTCCTGGGCAACTCCACCAACCAGGAATTACCCTTCTTCCCTGGTCCCTACATCCTGCCCAGCCTCATTAGTTATTTTTTTGCAGCTTCTGGACCTTCCCCACATGCTTCTGAATCTCCCTGTCCAAGTTATGCAGAACAATTTGCCTCTATTCCAGTTCTCAATTTTGAATCCTATACTCAAAACCATGCCCAACACTCCCACTTGCCCCACCCTGTAAAGAAAGGATCTGGCAGTTACCAGGATCCATTCCCCTTAAAGGGTAATATGGGAAATAATTACTCCCATTCTCACACCAACAGATATTTAATCTTCATTTCCTAAAATTAATATAAATGTTAATAATTTTACTTGATGTTAAAGGAATAAAAATCAATAAGCTGAACTTTAATTAATCGAATTGTGTTTTTTTCTATTTCCAGTCCATGAAACTATACCCTATAAAAACAAAATTCTTCTGGAAGTCGACTGGCTGCTTTTTAAAAAATCCAAATTTCCATATATGACCTTGTTGAATAAGAGAACCTCTAATTCTCTTGGATACCTAGGAATTTGCAATAAAATTTCCTTTTCTCCTCACTTTCCATCTTCAACACCTGACCAGCTAACACTTTTCCAAAATAATATATTTTTCTATTGTAGCTCTACTTGGTGCCTAAAATATTGTTTAGTACTCTTTTATTTCTCCTTTTACTCTAAGGATATGGATGCAAGTCCTAGAAAATTCAGTCAATGAGAACTTAAATTCTATTGTTTTCAGCAAAGGAGCAAAAGTGAGGTATTAAGGATCAGCCTGAAGCGAATTACTGCATTTCCAAGATATCATCTAGAAATGCCATTAAGCTTGAACGTTATTTCTGCTGCTTCTACACCATGAGTGAGTAAACAAGCAAACACACAAGCAATATTCTAGCCCAGGATACTGGCCCTGCTTTCTACATTATCTAGTTTAAAATGAAAGACGAAAGAGAATCTAACTCTTAAGACCTGGTAAATGTATATTAATGGACTTTACAGTTCTGCAAACCCAGACAATACTCAACGAGAAACATTTTTAAAACTAACTGAATCGAAATTAGAAGCCATTTCTTTAAACCTTAATAATAAACTAACTCATTTGCCACCTTTTTAAAATGTATAAGCCTGCAATGGATTTCTTTTCTATTTGACTTAGATCAAGCAGCTTAGAATTATATTAAAACTGACCCAGTAAAAGCAGTTATAAAAAGAGAAAAAAAATCACATGCCAATGAATTTCTATTACCGTTATTTTGCCCTTTAAAGCTTGTGTGTGTGTGTGTGTGTGTGTTTCATAAAAGCAGTTTAGCTATAAAGCTATAGTGCACACTGCTCTAGGATTCAGACTGTCTTTTACATGTTTAAGATCACAGCAACAACACTTGAGCCTTAATAGAGGGTCCCTGGG